TTCCTGTGTGGCAGTATAAAAGGACGAAGTCTATTCATTTTCAAGTTCACTGATGAAATATTTCTTCTGATACCGTGTTTTTACTGCCTAAACCCTGAAATTTTATGTACGAGTTGACAATAATCATTTGTGAGCAAGATTGACATAGAACCTTTGCATTACCACTCTCAGCGTTTACATACTTGTGTGACAATTTAAAAAGATGAAGCCTATTCATTTTGAAGTTCATTGTTGAAATACTTCTTCAGATGTCGCGTTTCACTGTCTTGAAACCCTGACATTTTATGTACGAGTTGACAATAATCATTTCTGCAAGGGAACCAATTTAAGTTTGAAAGCTTAAAAGACGTGTCGAGTCTGCGGGAGCATGATTAAAAGAATTTGACGAACGTCGCGGTTTCATTACCAAATTCCAATAGGTGTCTGTGAATTTGGGGTGCACGTTATTCCTGAAAGCTGAAATTACAATTCACAAGTTCAATTAACCTCTCGATGTACATTATGTTATTCATTACGAAAAGAATGCATATTGCTTGGAACTTTGAGATATCTACTTATGTAGGTAAAAAATTAAAATCAAAGAACTCAGAATTACAGAAAGCCGGGCTCATTTACAGAGTAGAATGGATTTCTTACATGAATCACGTTTATATTCTGATGAAAAAAATATTTTAAAACTATCAATATAAATGATAAGACACTGACAGTGAGTTTTTCAATCCTAATACCACGGTCCGATTTTGTCAGAATCATAATTAATCTGGTACCGCAGCTGAATGTAAACAAACAGGCCAGTCTGGTTCCCTCTCCTGCTTTACCTCGTATGTGTAGAGAACTACGGTAACACTGACTAGGTTAGCTTTTTAAAAAAAGCTGAGTCAGCCACTGGAATACAGAAAGTTTCTGTCTTGTTTTGAAATGGTTTATGATTTGATCTATCCATCATGTTGTGTTCCTTAAATGTAATAAATGCCATTGTAAGAAAAGTTAAATTCTTGTAATCGTTTTCTTATTTGTAACATAATGCTGTACATAATAAATGATAAAGCATAGAATATTTTTTAATTCTGCATCGTGATCATTACAATGATCTCCAATAAATTCTCTTCGGCGCAGACATTAGAGAAATTTCATCTTATACCGGTAAATGAACAAAAGCCACCATGGCAACTATAAGATCACGTTAAATTTTATAAAAATGATATAGATTATGATGAATAAAAGGATTAAGGTAGACTTTGTGTTAGATTGTTTTTAAATATTATTAAATAACATTTTTCATATGAGCATTTCGAGGCAATGCATGATGTGGAGGGGGTGGGGGAAGGGGGTATACTGCATGTATATTTAATTCCATTTCTAAGTTTGAGCATCCATTAGGAATGAAAAGAATTGCTTCCAAAAAAGTAATGAACGCCACGGAAAACAATTTAAAATGGAAATGCAAAATATGTTTATACATGCAGTACGTATACATGTACACAAAATGTCTTTGATGATGTCTACCATAATAGCAAAACAGCACAGGCGCTTGACGTTTTTAACCTTTCTCTTTATAAATAAAAAAATTCCCTACTATAATAATAAAGAAGGGAAATTTTTTATTTATAAAGAGAAAGGTTAAAAACGTCAAGCGCCTGTGCAAAACAGTTCTCTCAGCTATCGCATTTCTACTGTGTTCAATTTCTCACATGTGGGCGCGATTCACGTGCACAAGCGGCACTTACACGTCTATCATCATGTAAATTATAAGAATTTACTGCCTTACAGTGGTCTTCTGATGTTTTCATAACTTCCATCATTAGAGTGAAAAGAAATTGATCTTTCTTTTTTTCACTATTTTGGGACCTTTGTGGCAAGTGGATTGCTGTGTGAATTCCGACCCGTACATGTCTTGTGCAAGGTATTAAACATTGATCAAGGGAGTCTTGCATCAGGCATCCGGAGGAATACACAATTTAAATCTTCGGCTTGCAATGGCGATTGAGGGAATAAATGTACTTATCTTCTATTAGAAGCAATGAAATATTTTCATAGTATCATTTAAAAACTGACAAATATGCAATATAGAAGCTGAACAGTCTATGTCATTAATTTCCGTCGAGAACGACGAAGAACAATGCAGTCTATAAATAGATCGAGGTCGTGAGTGTGCATGAAGAAGCACGCCCTCTGGTTGGAGAAAATTGTGCAAATCTTTTTCCCAGAATTCCGATTAACGCAAGTTTCATCCTAACGTAACTAGTCAGCCCGGGGGCTGACTAATTATCAAAAATCATTACGCTAATGAACTATGTTCTTTGACTTATGAAGTTTTCAAAGTCATTACTACAAATGTTTATTTTATATAGATAAAACTTCGTTTTATTTTTGTTGCTTTATTTAGCGTTTGTATTATCTCAAAAGCGGTTGAGAGTAAGAACTATATTTTTGCACGTAACTTTAAAATGGCGACTATTGGGTTAACATCCTGCCTTGAACAGGATCACATAAGCCGGCAATTGCTCTTTGAGCAATAAGCCCGGCTAATTACTGAAACAATACATATAGCATGCGTGATATGTTTCTGCTAGGTATAAGGGAAACTGCCCAATTACGTATGCATATTATGCCCCCTCCATCCCCAATAAAATGCTAAGCAATTTTGTTAAGAATAGACATCCCCCAACCCCAATAATTTTGTTTAAAAAATAAATAGTACTGAAAAACAATTAAATATCTTATATTAAACTTTACTACCCCAAATTAGGTATCTATGTTATGCCCCCACCCCCTCCTTAACCACTTTGCATTTTGTAAAAAATGGATCAACAACAAAACACTCACTCATAATTTTGTCAAAAGTAGGGGAGTTGATCCTAATATTGTGGGACGTGGAGACTGGTCCTTCGAATAAATCCATGTAACCAAGGGCCCATGTCCCAACAGGTGCTGGCACAAAAAGATCCCTCACTGCTCAAAGGTCGTCAGTTCCTATTATAGGAAAGAATGTGCAGCTCTCCACCGGCAAGCCTTCATATGAGCAAAAAATTCCTGAGAGGGACATTAAACAAAATACAGTGTACTATCAATCTTTAACATGTTTAACGTCCCTCGAGAGAATTTATCTCTTGTGAGATATTGCCATTACGCGAGGGGATGCTCCGCTCAGCGGTGCCCTTGTTCTTATTGTTAATCTTAGATTATTTAGTGTGTTAATTGATTATGTATATTTGGATTTAACAGGGATCTATTTGACAGTTTAGAGGGATGTGCGATTTTATCGGTAAACCGGTATATTGCGATTTTTTGTCACGCGATACGTATCGCGATACGGGAACCAAAATACCGGTATTTTTACATTATTAAAAATAATCCGGAAATAAACCATTTAATCGATCAAATTTTAAAATTACTATTACCGGAAGTTTAAATGGCGACTTCTGAAGACATCGAATTAGTCAAATTTAAAATTCACAAGTAACAGCTTTTTAAAAAGCTTGCCTGACTAAATCAATCAATTTATCTGCATGAAGGATGATAAACCTTTTGAGCATAAATACTTTTGTGGGTTTAAAACATATCCCAACTTTATATTTTGTGAACCTTGTGTAATTAAAATCTTGATTTTATTAGCTCTACTGGTCAGAGACCAGAAGAGCTTATGCGACAGTAATGCGTCCGGCGTCCGTCCGTCTGTAAACAATTTTTCAAAATGCTACTCCTCCTACAGTTTTGGTCTGATTTCAATATAACTTTACACACAAGTAGAGTACACTAAGATACATAATTCTGTGTATCGGATTTTGATTTCGATGAACGGTGTTGCCGTGGTTACAAAAAATAGAAGTTTCTGTGAAATTGATTCAAAATGCTACTCCTCCTACAGTTCTGGTCTGATTTCAATATAACTTGGCACACAAGTAGACTACACTGGGATACACAATTCTATGTATTGGTTTTTGATTTTTATGAACGATGTTGCCATGGTTACTAAACATAGAAATTTCTGTGAAATACTTTCAAAATACTACGCCTCCTACAGTTTTGCTCTGATTTCAATATAATTTTCCACAAAAGTAGACTGCACTAATAAACATAATTCTATTTATCATTTTTGATTTTGATGAACATTATTGCCTTGTTTACTAAAGATAGAAATTTCTGTAAAATACTATCAAAATGCTATCCCAAATACAGTTTTAGTCTGATTATAATATAATGTGGCATGCAAGTAGACTACACTAAGAATATAAAGAGATTTAATCAAGGATCATTATTCTATTTATTGCTGTTGTAAAGTTTCAATTCCCAACTTCTACTTCCTTCCTTTGCTAAGTAAAATCCAGTAGAGCTTCCGTCTCGACAGAGACTTCTGATTTAACTTGTAGAAGAATCATCTCTACACTGCATACTAAAGAGTGTTATCGGGGGGGGGGGGGGGGGGGGTCTGCAAGTGGAGTGACCTGCCCTTGGATCGAAAGTGATTTCAAGCTACATTGTAACACTTATTATAAAATCTGTTATCAAATCATGCATTGTAAACATTTTAAAAGATGGATATGATTAAATACACATTTTGCTGGAGTGTATTTTCTCCTCTGAAGTAAACAGTAGTAACGTGTGTTCATTATTTTTTTTCCTTAAAAAAAGGGGGGTAAGGACACTATCTTATATTGAGAATGAAATAAGTAAATTTAATATTTAGGCCTTTTTGGAAAGAAAAATCCAAGATTTTTCACTGCTTTCTTATTTATTGTGTGTATCTGTGAACAGAGTCATGTAATAGATCAGGCATCTGCATGGAGACGATGACTTGAACTGCGTTGTTTATTTTTATTGGACTAGTCCATTTATGGAATAAACTGTAACGATAAGTGTTAACTAAATCTACCATGTCTTAATTATGATCGGGTTCGATGTTCAATATAGTATGTTGATGTTTACTGAATAAACGTTACATGGTGTCAGAAGTACACGTGCACCATTGATTTTGGTGAATGCTATCCCTCCTATTCGGCATGAGTAACGGAGATGGTGAAAATCAGGCAGATGGTGTTGCAGCGGCACCGCAGAGAGTGTATGTCCCGACAAATATACCGTTTCCAGCGAAATTGGACATTCGAGGAAACTTGGCTACGAATTGGCGCCATTTTAAACGGGTATGGGAGAACTATGAAATTGCAACCGGACTGAAAGATAAGAATAATGAATTGCGTGTAGCAACTTTATTAACATGCTTAGGTGCAGAGGCATTATCTGTTTACGATGGCCTCAAGTTCAACAATGATGAAGATCGTAAAGATATCATCAAAGTACTACAAGTACTAGAAGACTTCTGCATAGGTCAGACGAATGTAATATACGAACGATACACGTTCAACAAAAGAGAACAAGAGTTAAATGAAACTATTGACAGTTATGTTGCTTCATTACGCACACTTGTGAAAACCTGTAGATTCGGTGCTTTACAGGAAGAAATGATTCGAGATAGGATCGTGCTCGGGATTAGGGACAATCACACAAGAAAGAAACTGTTACAGGAGAAAGGTTTAGACTTACAACGTTGTGTTGACATTTGTAGAGCTAGTGAGAAGTCAAGTTCACAACTTCGAGCGATAGAAGAAGTGCAGTTTGTGAAGAAAACTAAACCAGTGTCAGATAAACAGAAGAAGGGTCCTAGAGACAAACAAGAAGTAAGCTGTGAGTACTGTGGTTTACGACACCGTAAGGATAAAGCAGATTGTCCGGCTTATGGCAAAGAGTGTTCTTCATGCGGACGCAAGAATCACTTTGCTCGTGTGTGTAAACAAGGGAACACTAAGCAGCAGAAAAAGTTCCGACCTGGCAGAAGGCCACATTCAAAGAAATCGGTACATGATGTGAATGACTATTCATCATCCAGTGAATGTGAATATGTTCTCACTGTCGAAGAAGTACACAATGTCAACAAGAAAAAGAAGATTACAGCCCAGATGCTTATCAATGACCAAACAGTACATTTTCAGTTGGATTGTGGATCTAGTGTGAATATTCTACCTGACACATTGTACAAGAAGCTGTGTAATGACCACGAGAACCTGACAGAAACTAATATGACATTAGTGATGTACAACAAGAGTGAGACGAAGCCATTGGGGAAAAGAAGGCTGACTGTTCGCAATCCTAGAAACAGAAAAAAGTACAGCATTGAATTTGTGATAGTGTCAGGAACAGAACTTAACCCTATTCTTGGAGTATCGGCGATACAATCGATGAAACTTATCACTGTGAATGAGCAGAACTTTGTCGCACAGATTGGTGGAAAGTGTAGTGACACTACAGAGCCTCTTACCAAAGAACATTTGAAACAACAGTATCCAACATTATTTGATGGACTTGGAAAACTTGAAGGAGAGTTACACCTCAGGATTGACACTACTGTGCAGCCAACAAAGATACCTACCAGGAAAGTGCCACTATCGCTCAAGTCGGATCTAAAGAAAGAACTTGATCGGCTACAGAATCTAGGAGTTATCTCTCCAGTAACGACTCCAACTGACTGGATATCATCCATGGTTGTAGCGAGGAAGTCAAATGGGGCAATTAGACTTTGTATTGATCCGAAACCCCTAAATGTAGCACTTCAGAGGAATCATTACCCCACTCCAACAATAGAAGACATCCTACCAGATTTGACAAAGGCCAGGATTTTCTCAGTGGTGGACGCGAAGGACGGATTTTGGCATGTCCTGCTCGACAAAACCAGTAGTTTCCTAACAACATTTGGAACACCCTGGGGACGTTACCGTTGGTTGAGGATGCCTTTTGGCATAGCACCAGCACCTGAAGAATTTCAGAGGAGGATGGATGAAGCACTTGAGGGTTTGAATGGAACCAAAGCAATTCACGATGATATACTTGTCTACGGTTGTGGAGACACAGATGAAGAGGCGATTAGAGACCATAATGGAAAGCTAATTGAGTTGATGGACCGATGTAAGCAGAAGAACATTAAACTGAACCTTGACAAACTGAAATTAGGACTTACATCAGTGTCTTACCTTGGACATGTTATTTCAAAGCAGGGACTGAGTGCTGATCCAAGTAAAGTACAAGCAATTAGAGAGATGCCTACTCCTACAGACAGACAAGCAGTACAGCGTTTGTTAGGAATGGTCAATTTTGTGCAGAGATTTGTACCCAATCTTTCAGAAGTTACTTCTACGCTTCGGGACTTGTTGAAAAGTGACACTTATTTTCATTGGGATGAGCAAGTCCATGGAAATGCCTTCAGCACTATTAAGAAGATTTTGTCAGAAGCACCGGTCTTGAGTTTCTTTGATCCAAATAAAGAGACAATACTACAGTGTGATGCATCGCAGAATGGATTAGGGGCTTGTTTGATGCAGGATGGACATCCGGTTGTGTATGCTTCGAGAGCATTGACCCAGACAGAGTGCAATTATGCGCAAATTGAGAAAGAATTGCTGGCCGTAGTTTTTGGACTCGAGCGTTTTGAGAATTACACGTATGGTCGTCACGTCAAGATAGAGTCAGATCATAAGCCGCTTGAAATCATTCAAAGGAAGAGTCTTGTGATGGCACCTAGGAGACTTCAGAGGATGCTATTGCGACTCCAGAAGTTTGATTACGAGATAGTCTATAAGAAAGGTGCAGAGATGTACGTAGCAGATACGCTAAGCAGAGCTTATCTACCAGCATCAGAAGAAGATATGGAGAAAGCAAGCATATTCGATATTGATCAGAGGAGCTACATATCAATATCCGAAGCAAAGATCATGAAAATAAAAGAAGCGTCTGAGGAGGATGAAACAATGAAGTTGTTGAAACATGTCATCAAGTCGGGATGGCCAGACTGCAAGGATGAACTTCCAGATAAAGTTCAGTGTTACTTCCCATTCAGAGATGAACTTGTCATCCAGGACGGCCTAGTATTCAAAGGGGAGAGAGTTGTGATTCCTGATAGAGTTCGCAGAGACATTATTGAGAGGGTTCACGAAACACATATTGGAATACAAGGATGCCTAAGAAGGGCACGAGAGACAGTGTATTGGCCCAATATGAACAATGACATTGAGAATTATATACAGTGTTGTGAAATTTGTAGTTCATGTCAGCCTGACCAGCCAAAGGAACCAATGATTTCACATAATATCCCAAAGAGAGCCTGGGAAAAAGTTGGTTGTGACTTATTTGAGTTTGACGGAAATGACTACCTTATATGTGCAGACTATTTCTCAGATTTCTTCGAAATAGACAGATTACATGGAAAGACTGGCAAGGAAGTCATTACAAAGATGAAAGCTCAGATAGCGCGTCATGGCATTCCGGATGTTATTATATCTGATAATGGGCCACCATTCAACAGTAGAGAATTTCAGGATTTTGCTGAAAAGTACGAGTTCGAGCACAGGACTTCATCTCCTCGTTACCCTCAGTCAAATGGAAAAGCAGAAAACGCAGTCAAGATTGCTAAGGCCCTAATGCGCAAATGTGTCCTTGACAAGAAAGATCCTTTCTTAGCACTTTTGGACTGGAGAAATACACCAAGTGAGACCATTGGACTTTCAGCTGCAGAGAGACTGTTTGGCAGGAGAACCAGGACTAGACTCACACTTTCCTCAAAGCAGTTGAAAACTCATAATTCCAGTGGGATCTCCAGGAAGCTATACAAGAGGAAAGGAAAAGAAGCTAGCTACTATAACTGCGGCACAAAGGAATTGCAGAAATTACATGCGGGAGACACTGTACGAATTCGTCCATTCGGGAGAGAGAAGTCGTGGACAAAAGCACAAGTAAGAGATCAAGTGGATATTCGCTCCTATGAAGTTCGTACAGAAGATGGACGCGTATATAGGAGAAATCGAAAACATCTACGACTTAGCAGGGAACCGTTTTCTAAGGAAGACTTACCCAGAAACACCAGTTTGTTCCCTGATGTAAATAAAGACAATTTGGAGACTAGTGTTTCTACTAACAGAGACATGGACAGAGTGGAAACCCCAGTTCAGAGTACATTACAAGCACGGAACACACCGATAGTTGACAAGAGTATCACACCAGCCAAAACATGTCCTTTACCAAATCCAACATCTGAAGTATCGGGCAAACGTCATACAAGGAGTGGCCGCGAAATCAAACCTCCACAGAAGTATCAGGATTTCGTGTGTAATGTTGAGTGTTTTGTGTAGGAGAGGTAGATAGTGATAAGGTCATAATAATACCTTGTCTACCTCAGGTTTCCAAAGAAATCTAGTCATTTTGTTTTCTATGTTGCTACAAGTAGTTGTATAACAGTTTAGTTTGTTTGTATGTTATTGGAACCCAGTAATTATTTTTAATACTCGGACATTCAAATTCTGGACAATATAGACTATCATGGGACTTTGATGAATTAAGCTTTATGTATAATTTACATTTGAAAAATGCTCGGTTTGTGAATTCATAATTTTTAAGAAAAATCTTGAGAAAGGGGATGTAACGATAAGTGTTAACTAAATCTACCATGTCTTAATTATGATCGGGTTCGATGTTCAATATAGTATGTTGATGTTTACTGAATAAACGTTACATAAACCAACCGCGGGATTGAGAAACAAATTAGAAAAAAATCATTTCTTTAGTGTTGCATGTCAAAAAAACTGATAGCACACCCATTCATACAATAGAACAATCCAAGGAAAAGGCGCGGATAGCTTACTAGTGACATTTGGCGCGAAAAAAGCGATTCACCCCTTTCGTAGAATGTAAATGGACTGATCCAGTAGTATAGAAATGCAGAAAAAAGAATTCACGGACATGTTGAAACGGCGAATTACAAGGAATAATCTGTTCCATGCAAAAGAGTACAGGAAGTAAACACTGCAGTATTTTGCATCAGTAATATCATTCTTTTTTCTGAAAAATGTTTCTTTTAAAATACAGGTAAAGAATTCCATTGTAAATCAGCTTGCACAAAATCTAGCTCTCTAGATATGATCGCACAGTTTCGGATCTTGGAAATATCAATCCTTATACAGCCTGACGCCGTGACGTCAGGCAACCAGAGGTAAATCAGATGTATGGAAATACTTCCTCGTAAAAAAAGACAAGAAAACAGGAAAAAATACTGAAAACATAGCCGTTTGTTCAAAGTGTAAAATTGAAGTGAAATGCCCCGGTGGAACTACCAACCTGAACAGTCACATGAGGAGACATCATCCGAATTTGCTCACGGAAGATCCAAATCCTACGAAGACTACTTCAGAAAATTAGAGGTTAAAACATCTGTTGTAAATACACCTATATCTGGAAACTTGGTTTCTTTGTTTGGTAAAAAGTACCCTTCAAATGCGGAACGTTCAAAGAAAATCACGGACAAAATTGCTAGATTTATTGTCAAAGATCTTCGACCATTTAGCATGGTTGATAGCCCAGAGTTCAGAGATATGATAGCTTGTTTGGATAATCGTTACCAGGTCCCCTTCAGAAAGACATTTAGTGAAGTTTTCATTCCAAAAATGTATTCAGATGTGAAAGTTCAAGTTCTAAGTAGTCTTCTTGAAGCAGAGCAAGTAAGTATTTTCTGTGAAATAAATTTCTAGTATAAAGAAAAAAATTATCAGATTTATAGACTAGAATGTGTAAAACCTTTACTCAGTACATAAATATTTTAATTAATTCCTTATTACTATTAGGTAGCACTGACCACTGATGGCTGGAGTTCACGAGCTACAGAATCCTACATTACGATTACCTCCACCCATATTGACAAAGATTGGAATCTTTGTAATTTTGTTTTGCAAACCAAGATGATGCCAGAATCTCGTACAGGTACATTGGAAATTATGAAAAAAAATGATTTGACTATTATTGTTTCAATTTGCTGAAATATGAGGGCAATTGAATGAATTGATTCTAAATGAAATTTTAATTAATATACATGTATATTTTTATTGGTTTAATTCTTTGAAAAAATAATTTTAAAAACTATTTGTCCTGATCGTAGGAGAAAATATTGCAGAGGTTTTGAGAAACGCTGTGAAGGCATGGAAATTGCCCATTTCTGATGGATTTCCACCAGTTGTCTCTGACAATGCTGCCAATATGATGAAAGCAGGTGAACTCCTCGGAAACATTCACATTAACTGTTACGAACATACGTTAAATTTAGCTTGTCAAAAATGCCTTGCAGTTAAGAAACTGGAAAATACTCTAGCCAAAATTAGAAAAATTGTAGCCTTTTTTCTCAGAAGCAACATTGCAGCTGCTTTGCTCAAGAATACAGCTGAAAGTTTATCACTGCCTCAACACAAATTAATAATGGACGTCCGAACAAGATGGAATAGTGCCTACGATATGATCTCACGATTTCTCGAAATGCAGGTAGCAATATTTGCTACCTTGAAATCAAAGGAGTTAGGAAAAGAAAGAGAAGCAGAATTAAAGTCTTTCCATGATGATGACTTTACTGTGGCAGAGGAAGTGGTCCAGCTGTTAAAGCCGTTTAAGGATATAACAACACTCCTGTGTTCAGAAAAATCTCCCACTTTGTCCATTATCTTGCCACTTCACAATAAACTTCTGGACAAGCTTCGTGAACAAAATGATGATACCCCAACAGTCTGCAGCATGAAAAATATTATGTTTAAAGACTTGAAAGTAAGATATAATCGGATTGGACACACTCTATGCATTGTTTTTGCTTTGGATCCGCGGTTCAAGATGCTTCCATTTTTATCAGAAAATGACAGATCAGCGGTGTACTCTGATATTGTTTTAGAAGTCTGTCGAGTACAGAGTATAATCAAAGTGAAAAGAGAGAAAGAAGAGAAAGATGCTGAATTATATGATTTTGAAGTCCTGAATGAGCCACCCTCACTGTCTTCAGATTCTCCAGCTGTTAGCCCTGTCAAAAAAAGAGTCAAAGCAGAAGGTTCTTCCTCTACTTGTGGTGATTCTATGGAATCTGTGCTCCACAGCTTTCTTGGTGATGTATACATTACTGATGTTGAGCCTCCAAAATCACCAAGTACGATTGCTGAGCAGCAGGTGAATGAATACCGAAGTGCCCGAGCAATACCTCTTCAAGAAAATCCTCTTTCTTGGTGGAAAGAAAATGAAATTAAATTCCCACTTATTGCTAAACTTGCTAGAGCATACCTTTGCATTCCTGCCACAAGTGTCCCATCGGAAAGAGTTTTTTCTACGGCGGGAGATATATTAAATGCCCAGAGGGCACGTCTAAAGCCTAAACATGTTGACAATTTACTTTTCTTAAAAAAAACATGCCCTAAACTGAAGAAAAAAAAACAAATCTAATTGTTGTTGAGTATTGACTTTAAAGTTATCATTTTTTTCTTTTTTACAAACCAGAAAGGAAAGATTGTATCTATTTGTGTTTGAATTGTTAATTAGAATTTTATTTTCTTGTTATGTTCTTTTTTTATTTTTAAGTTTTGAATGAAAACACATTAAATAGATTATAAAATGATTGATTTTTCATTTATTCACAACAACAATGAAAAAAGTAGGAATAATAATCAATAATTCCATATAAATCAAACAAATAGTGTGCTTATAAATATCACGATATATCGCGATATTTTTATAAAATATCGCGATACGAAATTTTTGGCGATACCCATCCCTAACAGTTTAGATTGGTTGGTGGGTGTTTTTTTAAGCTATTATATAAATTATGTGCCATGTGTGCCACATTTTGAAAGACGTGCCGTCCTCAAATTTTCATTTTCAATGTTCGTATGCAGTATTTGAGTAGGGCGGGTGATATATTCATTATTTATATGCAGTGAGTTCACTGATTATGTATTATATGTTATATCTTGTTTTAAAAGTTTGTTGTTATTGAAATATTATATATTTTTTTGTTTCATGGGGACATGAAACTTTAAGCGGGGGGGGGGGGGGGGGGGGATTGTAATGTTTTGACTTGACACGACCCCTAATTTTAACTACGAGTGTATTTGAGCATTTTTAAGTAATATCTCTATATATTTAAATAAGAAATGAAGATAATGGTTGTATCTTTTATAAATATTATGAGAACTATTCATACTTCCGTGTGATGTCTTCGCAATGCATTTTGGTATACTTCCGGCGTATTTTACTGGATCCGCCGGGCCATATTATTTCGCTGAATTGACACACAGAATGTTTAGAAATTACGTTTCCAAGGTAAATAATTTACTTTTATTATTTTGAATGAATTAAACTTATATTTTCTATTAATATTTTATTCAGAAATAATAGTTTTTATGACGTGGGACTATTTTCCGTTAAGTTTATCCGTTTTCTTTGAACTGGTAGACCGTTAATTTTGAACAGATTACGTTAGTGTGGAACGGAATCCGTTCCCCGTTAGTACAAGTATATAAGGAGAGTTCCGTTGTTCAAGGGGGACTCCAGCGTTTTTCTGATTCCTAGAAAGATGTAGGTCTATTTTGTCCAGATTTTTATTGGAAGTTTTTAGACTTAAAAGAATTATTCACTGAATTGGAACTATCTTTTAAATTTTTAGTACTTAATCTGCATAATTGGTAATTAATTAATTGCGGAAGTTAAGTATTTTTTATCAGGGGACTTTTAAACAGACGACTGCAGCCGATTATATTATTGTGATTTTCGATTATTGATTAATTTTTTGTTGTTTTGATTAATTAGTTCTATCTCTGAATAAACCATCATCTCGAAGTTATTTAACTCTTTCTCTTATTTATTTTTTATTTTGCTGGAGTACATTTTATTTTTTTAATGTCTGCCTTGGTGTCTAAAAAGGGTTGAGGCCGGCCATTTCCTCCCCTCTAATTAACCGTCATTCTTACTTGGGAGTAGCCATTCAGAGCAATGAGCGCTAGCCCGCAGTGTGACTACACTAAGATACATAAATCTGCACTGTTGCCGTGGTTACTAAAAATAGAAATTTCTATGTAATACTTTTAAAATGCTACTCCTCTTACACACTAAGATACATAAATCTGTGTATCGGTGAACTGTGTTGCCGTGGTTACTAAAAATAGAAATTTATGTGAAATACTTTTAAGAGATTGCAATGCGTCACGTGATCGAATCATATGATGCATGTTTAAAAAAGAAATTGTTTACGGTAACCATTTCCGGAATAGGCCACGCGCATGAGCGCGAAATATTTTGACAGATCTAATATAGCAGACGAAAACATCGCAGAACAACGTCAGAGTTAATGGGAAATTTGTTAAGAGAGGTAAATTAAAGAAATCAAAACGCTTGAAATATTTTAATAATGTAAATACTGATTTGAGAAAAACCGGGGGCCCTGAACATTCAAGAATACTACAAATCACACGAACAAGAAGAGGCAGAAGATCCGCTCCAGACGATAACAACAGACATAGAGCCGTAGAGTTGTGTGTGGAGACAGAAAGCGAGATATTGTGGAAAGACGGGAGACGTAGAGTGGAACTAACACATTTAGCTGATCAACTGTTCTGTAATAAGTGCATCCATCCACTTCACTTGTCGGACATCGTTGGAGAGAAAATATGTGGCCTGGGAAGCTTCCTGTATATTCAGTGTGTCAGCCCGCAGTGCCTCTTCACAAACTCAGTGACCACTGGAAAACGTAATTCCAAGGGTGTCTTTGACATTAACAACAAAGGTACTATAGGTAACTTTTTACATGAATACTCAGTACATTTTCAGTAGTCGATATTATAACTATAAATAGACAGTAAACCTAGCTTACATTGAAAAAGATTATGAACAGTATTCATGGTTTTGGTGTGAACATTGTGTGCAATCGTCAAACTAGCGCATCCATTATTTTTTATCAGGAACCTACAGTATTATATACTCAGCAAAAAAAGAAACGCATGATTATTCAGATTATTATAAGTACAAACCAGTAGAGCTGTTGGCGCAGTGGTTAGAGAGAACTTGGAGCGTTTGCTCTAGAGTTGCGGAGTAAGGAGTCGATCCTTATGTGTCCTCGAGGGTTCGAATCTTTTCAACTGTGGGACGTGAAGACCGGTGTTTCAGATGAGACCATATAAACTGAGGTTCCGTGTCGCAGTAGGTGCTGACACGAAAAAGACCCCTCCCTGCTCGATGGCCCCAAGTACCGAGCATAGGACAAAATATGCAGCTCTCTACCGGCAAGTGGTGCATGGCGTCTCAATATGAGTGAACAATTCTCGAGAGGGACGTTAAATAATATCCAGTCAATCAATTACTCTACTTTTATGTCTCGTTGGTGATTCTCTACCGACTTGCCTACTCGATGGGTCCTTTCGATCCTATCAATGTGAAGGGATAGGTTTTCTGGGGCTAGGATGAGCATGTTGATATTAAGCGGCGCATTAACGTTATCCATAATTTCCTCTTCGTTTTCCGTCATACCTGTGATGTTGAGACAATTTCGGTGAGAATATAATTGCTCTAAGTCATCTATCTGCCAGTCTTGTCGGTCAATTTGTGTCTGGAGACCTTCTCCAACAGTGCATCAGATATAATTATGTAACTTAAATATTTCATTATTCAAGATAAAAGATTTGCCCTCTTTGTGAAGTTCCCAACTCTTGATAGGGAATCAATATTAGTGCGGCATCTAACTTATGCAGGTCATGAGCCTGTAAGTGTTTGCAATTGATGTATCGCTCTTACTAACTGACGAAGATCGCATCTAGAACGCTTGTTCGCCCCTCCAAACCCTCTGTATGAGGTATAACTATTATCAGTCTGATATAAAGAGTCAAACTGCAGTACACATATAATATGTCACTCGCCTGATCTTATTTTTTATGAATTGAGAGTTTTAAACTGTTTTTTTAATCACTTCAAAGTGGTTGTCGCACAAATCCCAGCACGTAATAATTAAGACTACTGTTGACACCTACGCCATCATTTCACTAATTTTTTGATGGCTCGACTTTAACCGTCGTAAATGCATCGAACCAATTTTCTCCACTTGAAAGATGACGTGTCTTCATTGCAAAGAAACGTGAATATTGCTGCATGCAATTTTGAGAAGTGGCATCTCGAAAAGCCTTTGAGGTGTTGCAATATTTTTTGATAACAGCTCCACTGAGCTAAACGAAGTCCCCTATTGCTTTTGAGGGTCAAGGTCATAAATATTTTGTCTGCTAACACTGTTTCAGCTCTCCTTTAACATTTTCGTTTCCGCGCGAAATCTCGAAAAGCCAGTGAGCTTTTGCAATGAATTTTGCCTAAGAAAGACCCCTGTCAATTTACAAGTCAAAAGGTGGTCGCCCGTATGGCAATGTGGTTAGAGTGTGTGCTCTAGAGTTGCGGTGTAAGGATATGATTCTTACGTCGCGGGTTCGAATTCCAGTGCGGGATTTGAGGACTTGTCCCTCGGATGAGACGGTATAAACCGGGGTCCCGTGTCAGAATAGGTGCTGGCACGAAAAGATTGAGCACTGAGGAGTCTCTAAGTGCCAAGAATAGGACGAAATTTGCAGCTTTCCACCGGCAAGTGGTCTCCATATAAGTGAAAAAGTTGAACAAACAACAAACAAGTCAAAAAATCAAAGGTAAAAGTCGTAAATTCATACAATATATGTGTGTTTGTGCAAGGTCCTGTCTTTTGCAATGAAATTTAATACCATAACCCCTATGACCCCCGCCCACTCGTCTCAAAGTGTCCTACTCTGTTTTTTTTTATTATTATTATTTTGGTAATTTATATAAAAATTATCAACTGGAATAAAATGTTTAAAATTTCTTTTAAATAATACAAGATTGTAAATTCCAATGGCTTATAATTTCAAAAAATACATAGAATCATTCAACTGATTAATCTTCTTAAACTATTGTTGATGAGTTCCACGGCATCCACTTTCTGCAGAAGTGACACAGAAACGACGATCGATTGATCTCTTATTCATTTAATGTTTTGTTGAAAAGAACTGTGGTGTATCATTGATGAATGTACTTCATAGATATACATTTGGACAACATACATACATACACACATACTGACTGATGATTGATTGCAGTGGAGGGCAACGCATTTTGTCCTATACTCGGCACTTCGGGTTCTATTGCGATACAGGACCCCAGTTTATACGGTCTCATCCGAAGAACCAGTCTCCACGTCCCACAGTGGGATTCGAACCCGCAACGTAAGAATTAACTCCCTAATCCGCGATTCTATAGCAGACACTCTAAGTACTGCACGCGGGCAACTACGGACAAATGAAGCGATATGACTCAGAATACGGTACTAGTATTAGGAGTATTCCCCTCATCGGTATCGGACCGAGTGTCGGTCGTTACCCGTAGCTAACACTAGCTGAAACGGAAATATTTTTTTCCCCTTGGGATCCGTAATTCTAATCATTATGTGCAATCACGCTATTTGTTTTAGTACTGCTTAATTCTCTTCCAAAACTGATTATTTTAACACAGCTTTTGCCATGAGACCATTTCTTAAGAGTAAAAGTGATACGTACAATTGTCTTTTAAAGGATCACTTCATTATAAATAGGGATCTGACCTATAGGACCGGGCTTGGTTTTATTCTCTACAAAAAGCTTGTAGATTTCCGTTCTGATTAATGACATTAGGCTGAATACATATAACAATTTGTTTTTCCTAAATCTTTATTTCAGTGAGTAGAGATAGGAGGAACCCTTTTCATTGATTTTCTGAGTTTGTTATCTCCAAATGTAATAATTGATATTTTTCTTTACTTCTCATTGTGCATAAAGGTAATGTCTACTACTACGAAATTCTATTCTTTATGTCTAGGCTATTTATCCGTGGATATAATAAAAACTTATCATTAATGTGTGCAAATTATAATGGCCTAAATGAAATCCAAGTGAGTGCATTTACTGATATATGTAGCCAAAATCAATGTGATTAAATTCTAAATAAATAAAGGAATATATACAATTGAAATTCATTGCAGCTCAATGCTCCAAGAATACCCGTGTTGAGTAACACACAGTGAGTTATTCTTGTCCTCGTAGAAAGTGTGCTTATACTGAGGTTCGTTCCACCTGACTGACAACTGTACATTGGATTGTTACAATTTGATATCTCTATAGTGTTTCTTATATCAAGAATGGGCATGGGTAAGGGATAGAAAATTGGAGGAAAATACACAAGTCTATAAAAAAAATTTAAATAGTCTTTGAAAAGGCGAAAGGATGACTGCACTTAAGGAAACTTAGAAATTGCGACATATTTAATTTTAAAAATGGGCATATTACTTTTAATGGTAGAAATGGCCAATGTCTTAACTGCAACTTTGTGTAATTACGTTAATTAAAAGTTCGTATTAACGAAGTTCGAAGTCGTTTTTATAGGGAGGGGTCATCGCGTATTCTGGAATCTCCATAGGATAATGAGTATGCCCACCTTTTTACAGGCTTAATACATAGTCAGCGCATGTTTGTCGATTGTTCTCCTTTTTAAGGTAG